GGAAGGGAATTTGTCACTTTGAGTAACCATAAGTGTGTAAAATAATTTGATTAAAGAAAATACAGTTGCCTTAGTCATCATACTAATTTGACAAGGACTTTAAAAATGTCTCTCAGCTGTCTGCTTCTGGATTAGATATGCAAAAGAAAAACAAAAAACATCTTCAAAATGATGCTTCTTTAGGGAAAAAAACAGAAAAAGAACAAATCCAGCTGTTTCACCTCAGCCATTAATTGCAAGCCCACTGAATGTTCTCAAGCCTAGCAACAGAGTGACTATAAAGCAGTGAGATGGAACCTTGTTGACACAGTCAGTCATTCGTCTTCTTACATTGTCACCAAAACCTCAGACTTCATTTTTACATAACTCTAAATAGAGTGAAGGAAGTCAAAGACAAATACCATATAATATCGCTTATACTTGGACTCTTCAAAAAAAAAAAAGATACAAATGAAGTTATTTACAAAACAGTCTCAAAGACATGGAAAACAAACTTATGGTTACCAAAGGGAAATGGGGTGGGGTGGGGATAAATTAGAAAGTTGGGTTTAACATATACACACTGCTGTATAAAAAATAGATAAACAACAAGGACCTACTGTACAGCACAGGCAACTATACTCAATATTTTGTAATACCTATAAGGGAAAAAAATCTGAAAAATATATATATGTATGTATAACATATATACGTATAACTGAATCACTATGCTGTACACCTGAAACTATACTTCAATAAAAAATAAACTTTATTTTAATAACAAGCTGCAAAAAAAAAAAAAGATAGGGACATGCCCATTCCTGGTTCATAAGAACCTCCTGTGTGCCCCACCCAGAGACTAAACTGGCCTTTTTTAGTTTTCATCCTGAGGAAATTCAAATGTGTTTGCAATTGAGCCTCATCCATAACAGTACAGAGGTGCCCGAGGGCTTAATTTCCTGCACACATCCTTACCTCCAGTCCTCACTCATTTGAGAACACACACAAACCTCTATAGGAAAGGCTACCCTCAGTGAATGGCCTGGAATATCTCAGTGGGTCTCCCCCAAACACCAAGTGCACACAAAACAACTTTATCTCTGTGCAGTTCCCATATGCCTGTGACTTCTCCAAACAGCCCAAGACTTAAGCAGGTGTTGCATCCTTGCAAGTAGGTCAGGGCAGACTGGAGCCACCAGAAGCAACGATCCGAGTAGAGGAAAATTAAATTGCATTCTCTCTTCTGCACACAGTGACGATCAAACTGAATGGGTCCCTCTTATTATTTTTTTTAAAACTTATTTATTTATTTAGTTTGGCTGCACTGGGTCTTCATTGCAGCACACGGGATCTTCGTTGTGGCATGTTTTAGTTGCAGCATGTGGGCTCTTAGTTGCGGCATGCAAACTCTTAGTTGCAGCAGGCATGTGGGATCTAGTTCCCTGACGAGGTTTCGAACCTGGGCCCCCTGCATTGGGAGCATGGAGTCTTACCCACTGGACCACCAGGGAAGTCCTGGTCCCTCTTCCTAGGCAGAAAAAAAAATATTTCCTAGCCAGTAAGGCAGTTTAAGTGACTACAAGAGACCATCCCTGTGACTGTTGTCTTATCTGAAAAATGATTTCCAGTTAAAACACTGGCAAAGGTAAGAGATTTCAGAATCCACAGCTGGCCCAGGTTGCACCCAGGTCACCTTATCTATATTACCATCATCATCGAGTTTAGGCATCAGGATCAAAGTCCTTCTGTATTTCCCCAGGACACCCCAGCACCCAGGCCAAAAGTTGCCGGACCCCTGCCTAACTGAACAATTGGTGGCTTTCTCCTATATAGATCTACCTTGAGTTTGGGCGGGTTCTTGAGGGAAAACAGACACACACACACACACACACACACACACACACACAGAGTTCAGCTTTTCAAAGTTGCTTCTCAAATCACAGGCAACTTCTAATTCAGTTCTGCAGTTGGGCAGCTTATACCAGTGTCAGCGAAGACACTAGGTAATCTGTCTTTTCAGAAAGAAAACGGAGCAATGAAATGAAGCCTCCTAATATTAAAACAATGGCACCTGGAAAGACGAAATAATAAGGTAGCTACTACGTGGACTTGGGACTCAAATAGGAAGTAATGTCAGAGGCAGAGAATCTGCAATCTCCCTTCTCTCCCTGAAAGTAAGCAGTGTTGGCAGGGCCCCAAGGTGTGCCCTTCATCAGGTATCTGAAAATGCTTCCTCAGAGGGGCAGGCTGATTGCCAGTGTAAAGATCTCATATAACACACCTTGCACATGGACCTTGTGTGTGTGATGGCCTACAAACACAGGTTCTCAGGTTTCCTAAGAAATCCACCATGAATGGAGAAAGTTGCCTTTCCTGGGAACATCCTGCAATGTTTCATTCTCAAATTAGCCATAAAGAAGTCTCACATCACTGAAGAAACAACAAACTTTTAATTCTACCTTCCAAATAACAGATGAAAATTCCCAAGCGGCCCAAAAGAGCAAAACCCATGGCAAGCTGATTCAGTCAACCCTGACAAGCAAACTATTTTCATGGGGTTCAGATGGCAATGGAGAGCCAAGAGCAGAGGAGTAAGGCAGAGACCTGAGCACCTGATGCCTCCACTCTAAGTAATAACAATGCATTCAATTTCCTAAGCCTGTCCTCTCCATCTGCTTTCTGCCAGTCACCTGTTGACTCCAGTTACCCTACCCCTCAAACCAGGCTCTCCATTAGCCCAGGTGGGAAATGCCAGGAGATCCCCACCAGGTGGACTCAATTCCTCCTCTGCCTGCCACTCAGCCACTCTGGGATCAGAGTCTACTTCCTATCTCCTGGGGCCAGCCCTGCCTGTAACATCCACCAGCCCTCTATTTCTTAACTTTCTAAAGGGGCTTCGGCCACTCATCTGATCGAAGCCCAGATTCCTTTCTTTCCAAAATCCTTAAATCATTGCAAGCTAAAACCAAGCCCATGCCTTATCATTCATGGTGTGAAAAGTTCTGATGGTGTTTGGTTTCTTTTTAAGATGTAAAACCTTTTATTTGTAAATGGTGATCTTCCAAATCTGTGTCCACAAATTCCAAAACCCATAACACTCTGTATACTTCAAAAAATTCAATTTTGCCAACATTAGATACTATTATACAGAACATGAATAATCCACTCTATTGAACAAAATTGGTTTGAGGCAAAAACTGTTAAAAACTGGAGACAGCTGTTGATGAACACAGCCCAGGTTAGTTACCACATACTTTGCATATGGTACAGTACAGACCTACATGTATTTTTATTACTGTGCATTTGCATCTTAGTAATACATGTCTCTATTTTAATATTTTAATGGTCAAATTCCCTCCAAGGACACTCTGATACACTGACCCACCCCCCCAAGACACGGTCATCCCCTAATTCCAAAACTCCGAATGGTCAAATACCCTCCAAGGACACTCTGATACAAGGACACCCGCCCCCCGCAAGACGCGGTCATCCCCTAATTCCAAAACTCCGAAGGCCACAGGTACTGTCTGCAACTAAGTACTCGAACTACAAATGCATTTCATAAAACAAAAATCTAGACAGAAATGAAAATGTGCTTTTGGCTACAGGATTCACCGGCAGCATGCACGTCATGGATGCAGCCAGTAACAGGGATTTAAATGCCTCTCATCTGACAAGGAGCAAAGAAAATGCATTTGATTTTCAGAAACCCTGTAAACCTGTCACCCCAGGAACCGAGCTGAATTTGAACATCCCTCTCTTGTAACCACATAACTGACTTTATCCCACACCGAGAGACCAAGCCTGGTTGTACTTCCCCCTGACAGCAAGTCCTGATTCTTAGGAGGCTGTTTATGAACGGTACAGGGCACCCAGCGACTGGCCCTCATTAACTGCACCCCAAGGCCAGGAAGAAGGGATTAACGGTACCATCAGAAAGAGCATGGTTCTATCTCAGGATGCAGTTCTCCAACAGCCAAAACCTTGTCCAATTCTATCTCCATCAAACTTGCTCACTAACACTCAAAATCTATGACATTTGATTTCAGTTTCAGGTCAGTAGCCAAGTAATGTCTTAACACTATACACTCTGAAAAATCCTGCTTAGTCAGGACCGTACGTGGGTCTGGAAGTGCATTCTCTTAAACCCAAGTTGGGACCACCTGCGCGGGGCAGGAGACAGCGGGTAAAGTAGGTATTTGACTGCTGAGTCATTACAAGCTGTTTCCTCTGGTATGTTATGCACCCCTAACCATTTGAACATTAAAATCCCCCCTCAGAATGCAAATGAAATCGATGTACCTTGTGCACAATGATGCAATACCCCCTTGGGAACGAGAGACCACGGTGGGGAACTGAGGTCTAAGAGTGGGTAGCAAAAACTACACAAACTCACAGCTGCTCTCCAGGTATTGTAACTTTATCCCAGACGCTGAGAGATGGCTAACGGATACGGAGTGGGAATATTCCCCCTGCAGCCCCGGCTCGGATCAGGGCCACACTCCGGCGCATTTTACTCTAAACTGTTAAATCCCTCCGTAATTGGTGGATGGAGAAAGCTACCGGAGAAAATGATGCATAATGGATTTGTTCTCCCGGAGGATGGAATGCAGAGTCGAGGACGCAAGAGGCTAACGGGCTTTTCTTTCCATGTGCCGGTTACCTGAAAACCGCGATGCTTTCCTCTGCAGGGGGGCTCCTGAACTCACCCTCTGGCTGTGCTTTGGCGGGAGAGGGATGGTTTCACGCCCACCTGCCCGCTGCCTCTCCAACCCGGG